AAAATTTTATGTTAATGATTGTGGAAGATTCTAGATAATAGGGAAAAGGTAGGCATACTGGAAAAACAGAGCCAAATTACTTCATGGTGTGCCTATGGGTCTCCATTGAGTGTTCTGTAATGGCAGTGGGTCACTGATACATCAAGCTTAGAAATGTTCCAAGTAAAATGATTACATTTTCTGGGATATGTTATTTTGAAGCCTCAATCATCCACGTAGCTGGTTTCTAGAGTAGACTCAACTCTTCTCTAGGGCAATGGTTCTTGGGTATGGTCCCGAGACCACCAGAATTTCATTACCTGGAAACTTGTTAGAAATGCAAATTCTTGAGCATCACTCTAAAACTACAGAATCAGAAAATCTTCAGGTGTGGTGAGCAATCCAGGTGATCTGGATGCACTAAAGTTTGACAAGCACTATTCTAGGAAAAACCTTTGTCCCCTTAGAGTGTTATATTTTCTTATATAGAGATGAATCTGCCTTCTACTCAGGTACTTTTCTTCATTAAATTTTTAAGACTTTCATACAAGAACTGAGCTTTATTTTGGTGCTTTTTGTTTTGGCTTTATTTTATTTTCCTGCCTTTATTTTCCTGTTGACATGTTTTTTTCATGTGGTGTTGTTACCAGTAGACAGTCTGTCCAAAGTCCAGGGATCTCCCCCACTGGGCAAGATGGCAACAGGAGGAGGTTCTTAGATTGAGTGCCAATAAAACTAGCAAGGTAATTGGATAGGAAAAAGCCTCCCACTCTAGTACCAGATTGGGTGTGGGACCAAGGGAAGGCAGACACATGCACCATAGAAGTCAAAATGGTGCAGGGGTAAATAGTGTCCTAAAGAAGTCTACCAGTCTAGCTTGGGAAAAGAAGGGATTGGTTGGGAGGTAGACCCAACCAGAGTGCTCAAAAGTTTGGGAAGGTGATTGGTCATTTTGAGAAAGCACGTGGCCTATCTCACACCCCAGCTAATATCCCATGGGAATAAAAAAAGTAGATTTGCTCTCTCTTGCTCATGGCTCACTGGCCCGGGACCTGCACTGGTACAGTGCACTGGCCTGTTCTCTCCTTAGCAGCCACGTGGCCCATGGCCTCTAGGAAGGAGCCTCTCTCACTCACCTGGTGATGCTTTAGCTGGTGTGTTCATGTGCTCTTTCCCAAAAGCACACAACCTTGCAGCCCTAGCAGATGCATGGCCCGTGGCCACACAGGCTCCACATGCAGGCTCCAAGAGGGAGCCTGAAATGGACAGCAGCTGGGAACAAGCTAAGCTATCTGGATGGCCACTTAGCAGCCACTGGCTGGCTTCAAAGGACTGTACTTTGAAATGTACTTTTGTCTTGGTTTTGCAGAGGAGATAAGCTTTGAGACAGGAGTCTGTCAATTTCATAGATCGTGTAGCACCTGAATAAAACTTCTTTCCTCTTACACCAGCATCTGCTTCACAAGTTTGGCTTCTGTGACTATAGGCAGCTGAACCTCCTTTTTTGGTTCAGTAATAGTGTTTCATATAGCTATACTAGACATTCTTTGTTGAAGTTCAGCACACTTCAAAAATATATAGGGTAAAAGGGAGAAAACTAGACAATAAATGGTAACAGTCTACATTCAGACTGAGTCATCTGATCATTTGCTAAAGTGTTAGTTGTTTTTTTTTTTTTGGTCTGGTTCTGTACCGTGTATCAGTGCAGTCAACTTGGCTAAGACCATGGGCAATAACTGGAATACCATACAATGCCTGCATGGGCTTCGGCAGGCTCCAGCCAGGTAAAGCATTTTATGGCTTATTCTTTGTTGGGTTGTGGACACCTTTACTTGGGTATCAGCCTTACACAGCTACTGGAGTATAAGTGCTCTTAACCATTCTTAATTTACATTATAAAGGTCATGCAGCCTTTCCTGAAAAACTTTGCAATCTTCCATTCTCCTCTGATTTCTTATTAAAAGTAACAAGAGATAATTATTCCCTTAAAACCCTCTATCAATTATACTGTTTGCCTCCGTACTTTCAACAACTTGCTTGAAAGCATGAATTTCTGTGTTCTCCAACTTACAGGGATGTGACAAACTTTCATGTGGCACTATTTATTTTTCATCAGTTTGATAATGTAAAATTCATTCAGTTTTCACATTAAGGTAGATTTTCATAATTTCATATTGAAATCTGTATAACATCACAGATTTCTCCGATAAAGTATGTAAAATAGTATGAATAAATATAACACTAGACTTCTCTCAGATTTTCAAAAATTAAAAGAAACAATTTTTTTAAAAATAGCTTTAACAATAGGATTCAATGGAAAATGTTTATACCTAACTTATTTCCCTGATTATACCCTTAATTGTTGGTTCTTTGGGGGAATTATTTAAGAAAGCCCATATGAAACAGTGACCTATAAAACAGATAATGCACCTTTTTATCCTAAAAATTTTAAGGAGGCTTCCTGTGAAGTGGATGCCCAGTATAGTCAATTCTCTATTAACAGAAGCAATCTAAGGTACAGATAACCTTTGGAAATTAAAATGTCTATATCTGTCTTTCATCAGGAACATGTTGGAGGGTGGTAATTACTACATAACATTATGGGAAGCTGCAATAACAAAAATAAAATAATGCCTGAGCCCAATGAACAGTGGATCATGATGGAAGCTCCTTAACTCCTCCAGCCCTTAAATGGGCCTCTGTCAGAGAAATGCTTGTCAGTGTACACAGGGCTGATTTCTCGATCTTCAAGTACACCATGATAGCTTGATGAAGACAAATTTTGGAGAGTTAATTGGTAAGTTTTATTTCAAATGCATTCCCATGTGGCTGAGCTAGAAGTACCATCCAAGAACTTTGTCAACTTCTAAATCTCTCTTCACCTGTGCAGCTTATACAGGCATTATCAGGACTATGAAGGGTGAAGTCAACAGTTACATCACTGTGTTAGGTTTTATAGTACATTTACATACAGTGTTTCAAGTTCTGAGGCAAATTAGATAGTGACCTTGAACTCTGTGAGGTGCTGCACAATCTTAGCAATAACAAAAATCATTCTACGAGAAATAGTCAACACAAATAGCCCTCTTCCAGTGCAGGGCAAAGGTCATCACAAAACTCCCTTTCGTTTAGGTATTACAACTCAGTACTACTATTGATGATAATGATGATAATGATGATGATGTTGATGATGTTGATGACAATGGTGATGACAATGATGATGATACCTAACATTTGTTGAATACTTATACAATTCCCAGGCAGTATACCAACCACCTTATATAGATAGCTCATTTCAATACCCCTAATAATGGTGACCACTCTGAGCCTCATTTTGTAAAGAGATTAACAAGAAAAAGAGAAGTAAGATAACTTGCCCAAGGTCACACTATATTGAGGAGACAAGGTTCAAGCCACACAGTCTGATTTCAGACCCTGACTTCTCATCCATTACACATTTTTTCTTTCTATTTCCATCATTGCCATGGTCACTCAAGTTTATACTTCTATAGTACTCTATAAAATATATAATGCACCTTGAAAATACATCCAGAATTGGACCATTCCTCACTCTACCCTTCAATCTTGATCCAAACATTACTTCTTCCCTTGATTAAATAACAGATTCCTGATAGGCCTCCTTTCATCTTTTCTGTGCCTCCCCACTTACAATTTATTCTTGCCCTGCAGCCACAGTGATTCTTATAAAAAAAAAGTTAGTTCATATCCATGTTCTGTTCAAAACCATCCAATCTGACCCCAGGTCCTCATCATGACCCACGTCTCCCTGAGGTGCACCAAGGGCGCCACTTCTCTCTTACCTGAGGCCTCTGCACTTACTGTTCGTTGCTCAGGCCTGGCACACGGCCCATGCCCTCACTCAATCGTTCCATTTCCACCGAAGACTCTTCTGACCAGTTCTTGTAAAGTAACCCTCACCACAGGTATTCCTATCTCCTAAACATCCAACTACTATCCAGTGACTTATTTATTTACTATTGTCCCCTCCCCAGTAATGGAATATAAGATCAATGTGGGCAGGGGCTATTTTGGTGGCTGCTCTCTCTTTAGTCCCTAGGACAGCTGGTACTCAGGAAATACTTGTTGAATGAATGACAGGACACAGGTATGTATTTTGAATAAACTGTAGTCCAGAGGTAAAGGTCTGGTTAGGCAAATAGACAAAGCTTTTAATTAGTAGAGCCTCAAAGAATAGACATTGTCCTTATTCAATATCCTGAAAGCAAAACAAACTCTAGCTTTATAATGTATTTTATTTTTCTAGCTGTACAATTTGTAGACACATTGTAAATTATACAACTAAACCCCTAAAACTGGTACTCACTCTGGTTTTTACACTTCGGTCACTTCCAGCTTCCAACAAGAGCTTAATACATTCTTTATTTCCATTTTTACAGGCCAGGTATAGAGGTGTCTGTCCTCCATCAGCAGCATGATTAATGTCAGCATCATATGCAATTAAGAATTCTACACACCTAAACACAAGATTATGATTAACAGAGAAACTGGGTTTAATTTCTGAAGTACCACCTGACCAAAATATTAAATGTTGATAATAATTAGAAAGTAATTTTGCATCTTCATATACATGAAATAGATAAATATATATCAAAAATTATTGTGGGTCTTATATGGGAACTGTTTTTTTAACAAGGCTAGAAGATGTGTTTTAATCACAAACTAATTACTCCCATGAAGATTTAAAACAGTAACCTTGATTAAGTGCTGAAACTTGGTTTATGAGACTTCTCTGTAACCAACTTGTAAAAGTGGAGCCTTTGGAATGTATTTAACTTATTGGAATGACTGACTGATTTAACTGTGCTTGACATATATATTGTTAGTGGTTCAAAATAGTTTGAACCTTGAAAAAAGTCAGGCTGCTGAGTCATTCTGAGATTTTTCACTTGAGAAAATAGCTATAAATACTGCAGACAGCAGGGCACCATGTGCCTCCACTATAAAAAGCAGCGAGGAGAGAGAGAAAGGTTGCCTAGGGGGAAAAAGACAGCAGAGGCTGTGCTGTCCCCTAAAGGGCTGCTGGTTTACCAGGGAAAAGACACAACTAAGCAGAAACTCATTGCCCTGAGACTCAAGACGGTAAGAAATCAGGGGAATGCAAGATGCAGTATCACTTACTAACTAGCAAAACACTAAAGCTTGAGTTTATAAAATTACATGAAAATAAACTTAGAAAAGAGGACTAAATCATAATTAAATTAAAAAGCAATTCACATCATCTTTTTTTTTTACTTCGGGTGCATGTTTTCTCATGGTTTCCCTTGACATTTGATATTTGTGTGTGTGTGTGTGTGTGTGTGTACATATATATATATATGTATATATGTGTATATATGAGAAAAATAAGTTACATATTAATATGTGTATGTATAACATGCACATTTAAATTAACCCCAGCACTCTTCTTTTTTATAAAGTGATCCATGCCTCTATGCCCCTGACTATTATACTATCCAAGCGAGTAGCCCTACAGATTGCCCAGTGAAAGTAAAGGAAAACATACAGCCCAGAAAAAGTCCTCTTGGAGAACTCAAGACATGCAAAAAGTAGGAGCAATATCTATAGTCTTCAGTAATAACTCAGGGTGATGACATGCAGGAAAAAATAAATAATGTATATTTTAAGGATGAATTGTGAATTTTGAAATTTTTCCATTTATAATTTTAACTGAATTTATTGGGGTTACACTGGTTAATAAAATTATACAAGTTTAAGGGGTATAACTCTTTAATACACCATCTGTATATTGTATTGTGTGTTCGCCACCCCAAGTCATGTTTCTTTACATCACCATTTATCCTCCCTTTACCCTGGGCTTACCTTTCCCCTGCCCCATTTCTCTATGGTAATGACCATACGGTTACCTGTCTATAGGTTTTTGGGTTGTTTGTTTGATAGTTTTTTTGCTTAATCCCTTTACCTTTTTAAATAACATTAGCATGAACCTTAAAACCCATATTTTAAGAATTATGAACTTTGTCAAAGAACATTTCTAGCAGGATAGTGATGTAAAAAGTTGAAAATAGCTTGCAATCCCTGCAACCTGCTGTTTCAGCACCGGCCCAGAAAACAATTCAGCTACATTCTCTTTTAGTTAAAGGTGACACAATTTTAAAAAACTAGCCCTGGCTGGCGTAGCTCAGTGGATTGAGCACGGGCTGTGAACCAAAGCATTGCAGGTTCAACCCAGTCAGGGCACATGCCTGGGTTGCAGGCCTCAGCCCCCAGCAACCGCACATTGCTGTTTTTCTCTCTCTTTCTCCCTTCCTTCCCTCTCTAAAAATAAAATAAATAAAATCTGAAAAAAAAATACTATTACTATGCTCAGCTGCCTTAATAAGCTACTCACGCTAAGTTCACTCACATGAGGTTTGGACACTGCATATTTCTCTTTTTCACTTCCCTCATACACAGCTCTTTACCAATTAATAAGAGCAATTTTAGAATCCTAATGTGTTTAAGTCCTCAAAAATATTTAGTAAATTTATTTGACACTAGATTTTAAGTACTAGTTTATACATTAAGCCAGAAAAAAATATGTGTGCAAAATATAAAGAGCCTCTTCTCATAAGAAGACAAAGAATCACTTACTTGAAATGTCCCTGAGAAGCTGCAGCACACAAGGGTGTGAAGCCATTTTTATCAGCAGCATTGACTTGGGCTTCTGCATTCAGCAGCAATCTCACGCAGTCTACAGATTTTAACAGAAAGTCACTTCAATTCCCCATTCAGAGTTTCAGTGAGCCAAGCTCTGTACGAGCTGTAGACAGATACTAAACCCAAAGGACCTGTTCCATACACTGTCCATCTGACAACTCTATCATCCGAATGTAAGACTCCACAGACTATTTACGGGAAAGCAGCCTCTTTTCCTGAACATTGTCATACCCCAGACTCACCAACTAAGATGTGAACTTTATTTTCTTTTGGTGCTTTGGGAAGAGTTGCTGATGAGTGAGAGAACTATCTGTCATGTGTCAGAAAACACTTTACCAGATTTTTTTTTACCAGACTACCCCAGAAAATAGTGTTACTGGATGGAGAACCAAATCCATTAACTAAATCAAAATACCATTCTTTATATTTAGTAAACTCTTTATGTTTTATTTAATCTTTAAAATGCTTTTGTGTCATGGTCATCCTACACTTAACTCCATGAATGAGGCTAAAGGTGGACCCAGTCTTCGACCTGTGTTATGCCCAAGCTGTTTATTCCTGACTCAGGCATAAATAGCAGCACCTGGATCTCATGTTCCCCTTGTCGTTCACCAGATTCAATTTCTCTATACTAAAGAAAATTCCCCTAGTGTTTGGAAGTAAAAATGAATCCCAAACTACTTTTAAAATAATGACCTACATTCTTAGCTCACTAGAACCTTCCATTTAATCCACTTGAACACAATAAAGTTCTGAAGACTTTCAAGGAAGCCACCTTATCTGAATTAATTGACAATTGTCCAGCTACCACAGGCAATGCTATTTGACTTTGCATTTGCAGTCAAATCATCTTTTTCTTCAGTAGCTTGTGTTTTAGTATATTTGACTAGGATTTGCATTTCAAGAAACAAAATAATTCCCAGACTTCATCAATATGTCGTTTACAGTTGTACAACTTCTTAGCCTCTAGAACAATCCAAATAACTATAAACTGCTTCAACTAGAGGACAATTTCAGACCCATGACCTTTCCTAACTACTAAAACTTTCCCTCTCCGTAGCATATGCTAAAGTTCAGGTGCTTTGAGTTTCACACACATCAGATATTTCTAACAGACAAATTAGGGCTGTTTCATCCTGACCAAAGTGATCACAGAGGGAGGGCTTTATTCTACAATGTGTGTTACAGTTACTAGACCTAAAATTTCTACTTGTACAATACATTTCATTGTGCATAAAACAGAGATCACTTTTTTTGTAGCTGCTAAACATTTTACATTATTATAAAACTACAATTTGGATTTTACAAAATGTTTACAAAAATATTTAAATCATAAAAAATATTATCTAGTACTACCTGTAAGGGAAAATTGAAATAAAAATGAAACTTTTGCTCATGACAGTGTTACAAATGCTTGTGACTCTCTGTCCTTTTGCAAGCAGGTACTGGTATGATGAGGTAATATTATCACCATCTTTACCTGTATGTCCATTCTTAGCAGCAGAATACAAGGCAGAATGGCCATCTTCACAGGAGTAGTTAATGTCCAGTCCTTCTTCATTAAGCAGCATTGATAATAAAGTGACATTTCCCTGGGCAGCAGCTTGCTGAAGAAGGGTGGGCCTGCCAGCCAGGGGGGCAGGACCACCACTCATTAGCAAAGGGGTTAGGGAGGGTGACCAGCCTGTAGGTTAAAGTGACCCTAGTTAGAGAGTAGGAGGGAGGACAAATGACAGACATCACCCACTCCTTTCTAAATTACATACACACAGATACAGGAACATGTATTCTTAGAGGATTATGTGGTTTCTAACGTTATCAATCTGTTAATAGTTACTTAGCACAAATCTGTACTGTTCTCTCAATCTTATACCTACTAATTAAGATACATAGTGACAAATTATTGGCAGACATCAATCTTTCACAGATAAGAGCTAAGGTAGGAACTGGTTTTAGGAAACTGCAATAGCTGTCTCATTTTGAAAGTTCAAATTCGTTTTCAAGGTTTCAAAGCAATTTGAATTTTAAAATTATGTAGAGATTGTTTCAATTTCAGCATCAATCTAAAAAAGTGAACTAATATCTTTAGGTGTAAGACAAAAATAAATGTAAGAAATAGAGATTTTCCTTTTTTGACAATGTTTCCAAGGTACTTGTTTTACATAAACCATTGCGATGGACCAAATACTGTCAAGAAATTTACTTACATTCCTTGAATTTCCTTATTTGAGAAAAAAATAATGGAGGGGCCAACTATTCGGTATCAACAGCTAATAGAAGCACTACATATATATTTGTATCTAAAATACATCAGCAGAAATCAATACAATTTTTAAGGACTATATCATCTGGCCATCTCTATAACGTGTTCCAGACACTTTCAATCAGCCAACAGAATAGGACACTGTACACAGAGATTTAACAAAAATTATAAGAGTTATCATAGTTAGATATTTATCATCAGTATTTAGCAGTTTTAGAAGAGAATCTGTTAAGTGTGTAAAGTAGGCTGCATATAGCATGGAAAACTTTCTGAATTCTTCCTTGATCGAAAAGCTGTAAAAACAGTAAAGTAAAAATGTTTATTTAATGTGACATAGGTATTTTGTCTATTTTAAGCTTAAATACCATTAACTTCATTTTATTTTCCTCTTCATGGAGCTTGAAATACCTCTAAGCAATGCTAATGCAAATATAAAGGCATGTGTGCACACTGTCAGCCCTCAGGGTACAGTTTCTACATATATCTGGTAACATTCCATATAGTAATATATGCTAGATGGATGTTTATATTCTCTGCACATTCTAGCTATATGGGTATTATATTAGTATGTATGTAATATTCAATTCTTATAATAGAATCTTAATTATTGGCCTTAAACTATTTTAATAAATATTAAGAGTACATATCAAAGGATTTCTCAGTATTTTAAAAATTCTTTGTAATAAAGCAGTTAATACAAATGAAACTAGAACTGCTTATTAAAAGCTACTGATAATATATCTTTATATTCAATGTATTTGGGCCCATAAGTAATTTATTGCTTTACCCTATTAGACTGCAATGACATACATTCAAATGGCTATAAAATTAAATATCTAAACTTTATGATATTTTCCCATTGATATTCATTACCTCCTCTAACAAAAGTTACTATTTTTACTTCATACTTACAAGAAGGCTTGTCTCTGGTACATTTTACCTTTTATATTAAAACAAACAAAAACAAACCCACAAAAATTAAATCAGTACTTATCAGAAATGGATGATAAACAGAAAAATTGTAAACACCAAGGTACAAAACCTTGACTGCAAAGCACACACAATGGCAATACGAAGGCATTGTACTGTGGTCCTCTGTAGAACCCCAGGGAATGTGGCTCACACTCTATTTCTCCCTCCTCTCTCTCTTCTTTCTTTC